GACCCTGAGCTGTCATTCAGTGCCTTCTGGTCTTACCTGTATCCTGTATCTACGAACCTGTGTATTGTAAGTTGCTGACCCGGATTGTACCTGACCTTGCTGTATTTCTCCTGCCCTGACCCTTGCTTTGCCTGACCTCTCTCCTGAATGCCCCCTATTGGATTTGACCTGCTGTTGCTGACCTGGCGTGTGACCCGACCATTCTATGCCCGCTGCCTTGTACCTTGCCGTCCTCTCTGTTACCGACCCGGCCCGTCTGACCTTGCTCATCCATCCGTCCATCCCGTGCAGTGGGGTCTGCTGACCTCCTCATATCAGACTCTTCCCCGTGGGAGCCCTTGGCGCATACCACTACCACTGACGGACGCACCCAGTAGCCACGACCTGGTCTCAGGGGGCTCCAAGTCCATCCCCACCATCAGGGGCCCTGGTGAACAAGCACCCTGGAACTTAGACTCCGTGCGCTGGGGACGCTTATTCAGTGGAGTGCTAGTGGTACCGCCAGGCGGTCCCTTACAGCAACATTGTACCCATATGAAATTTTGATCATTTTTTTCTCACAAATAGAGCTTTCTTTCGGTGGTATTTAATCGCCACTGGGCGCTTTACTTTTTGCGCTATAAATAAAAAAGTGCAAAAAATTCGAAAAAAAAAAATAAAGTTTCTTTGTTTCTATTATAAAATTTTTCAAACAGGCATTTTTTCTCCTTCACTGATGTGCGTTGATGAGGCAGCACTGATGGGCACTGATAGGCGGCACTGATGGGCACTGATAGGCAGCACTAAAGGGCACTGATAGGCAGTACAAATGAGATGGCACGGATAGGCGGCACTGATAGACAGCACTAATGAGGTGTCACAGATAGGCGGCACTAATATGCAGCACTGATAGGCGGCACTGATAGGTGACACTGATGATGGGTACTGATAGACGGCACAGACTGGCATCACTGCTGGGCACTGACTGGCGGCACTGACTGGCACAACCCCTGGGCACTGACTGGTGGCACTGACTGGCAGCACTGCTGGGCTGCACTGGTGGGTGGCACTGGTGGGCAGCACTGGTGGGTGGGCACAGGTGGGTGGCACTGGTGGGCACAGGTGGGTGGGCACAGGTGGGTGGCACTGCTGGGCACAGGTAGGTGGCACTTCTGGGCACAGGTGTGTGACACTGCAGAGTGGCACAGGTAGGTGCACTGCTGGGCACAGGTAGGTGATCTGCTGGGCACAGGTGGGCGGAGCTAGTGGGCGCACTGCTGGGCACAGGTGGGCGGAACTTGCGGGTGGCACTGCTGGGCACCGATCATCAGGGCACTGATCATCAGTGCCCTGATTATCGGTGCCGATCCCCGCTCTGACAACTGCTGGGTTCTCGGCAGTACTTTCCTCACGATCTGACAGCGTGTGGAAAGTGCAGCCGAGAACCGGCACTTGCATTTCCCTCTGATCAGCGTGTCATTGGACACCGCTGATCAGGTGGTAAAAGGCCGCTGTGATTGGCCTTTTACCACATCACGTGATCAGCTGTGTCCGTATGACACAGCGATCACGGAGATCGCCGGGTGCGGGCCCCCTGGGGCGCGCAGGAGAGCGCGCGTTCTGGGGGGACGTCATATGACGTCCACTCAGAACTGGCCGGCTGCAGTGCAGCCGTCATTCGGCTATCTGCGGTCGGCAGGTAGTTAAACTAGCTACTAAAGTGATTGTAAACAGTGCTAATTTTATTAACGAAAATATTTTCATTGACAAAATTAACACTATTTTATTTGACTAAAATATGACTAAAACAATTCAGATGAATAAAATATGACTAAAACTAAAATGGCATTTTAATCAAAAGACTATGACAAAAACCAAATCGAAATTTGACATCACAATGAACACTGGTTATAAATCACAATGGCTAAATCTTTGCCTGTAGTGCATATTCAAACCTTGACACCATAAATAATAACATGTTATTAGATTTCTACTCCAAGAGTATATATTGTATAGTGAGTTTGGAAATTCTAGAGAAATGCTTAAATAATGCATTACAATTTAACTAAACCCATTACTTTTTTAGTTGACTAAAATGTACTGGATATGTTAGTCAACTAAAATATGACTAAAACTAAAACAATTCCATTGACTAAAATATTACTAAATCAAAAATGGCATTTTATTCAAATGACTATGACTAAAATTAAATTGAAATTTTATGTCAAAATGAACAGTCGTTGTAATCCCTTACATATACTCAGTGAAGTGATTGGCATCAGGTGATACACAGAAATGAAACAATTCCTCCTAAATAAGTTGTACCTGTTTAGCCTTCTCGACTCTGCATCTGTTCAAAGTACGGAATTTATACAGCTCGTCTGAGAGTTAAGAAAAAAGGGGGTGAAGAGCTGAAATTACACACTACAGAGCTCAGTGAGAACTCTGAGCTGATTGGAAGGATTGACACACCCCTTTCACACAGCTCACAGGAGCTGAGACTGTCAATTTGCTGGAGGTGCCTCCCCTGTCACCATTTTTCTGTTGGGGTCAGGAAAACTTGTCAGAAGTGATTCATGCTGATTGTGGAGGAATGAAGCAGCAGACATAAAAGTTCTCTGGATTGAGCCAAGTTCACATTATAGAGGGATATGCTTTGTTCATATTCTGTCTGAGGTTTACAACAACTTTAAATAAATGAGGGGTTAATAGCACTTTAAGCTTTGTCAGCTGATATTTTGATGGCCTGTTTTATTTTTTCACTTTAATACAATAGAATATAGTTTAGTGGCTCCACTGAACTTGGAAAACAGTTAAGTGCCAGAGAAAGCTCATGACTGCTGCTCGTAAAGGTCTAAAAACCCAGAGAGTAAGCGGGAAACTTGCTCTGTTGAGCACAGCCAGGGGCTCAGCAAGCACTCTACACTGGCCTTTATAGTTGTATATTCTTTTTTTCTGTTAGGAAAATTCCTACACGTCTTCAAATGACATCTTCCAATCCTAAACTTAATATGCAGCCTGAAGAAATTTTTTTACAAGTGTCAGCATGGTACCACAGGCTGTCAACCATAGCAGAAGATGAAGGTTGTTTATATTGTTATTAGATGTACTGTATATCTTTGCAAGAAAAATCAAAAACGTCTAACAAATATACTAATACCAAAAAAAATTTAGAGTATATTAAAAATATGCTTATACATACCCTGAAAATCCCTGTACATGACCCACAGCTTTAACCCTGTCATTCGCAAGGGTGTGTTCTAAACATTCTGGCATAGTGTTAAAACAAGCTCCAAAAGCAGCTGTGATCTATTAAAATTGTACAGCTGGTTTCTAGCTTTAACTTAGAAGTGATCAGGGTGGCTGTAAAGCTGTGAAATCACCTCTACAGGGTGGTGATGTGCAATATAATACATACCATGTAAAGTGTAAAATATAAATTAAGAAAACTGACCTCTCTTAACAACTTGGTGGCAGGTTGCTGGTTTGGAAGAGTGACATCTCAGTCATCACTACTGCTGCAGCAATGTCTGAGATATAACTTTTTTCATCCGGCAATTCGCTTCCATGTAAAAGTATTGCTAGTGGCTAAGTAGCTGCTGAATTACTTTGACAGGTGAAGGAAGGGGATCCCACCACCGCCTTTACCAGACTCTCCCGAGTGATCAGGGATCCCAGTAAGGATGCCCCTAGTGCAGTGTTTCTCAACTCCAGTCCTCATGGACCCCCAACAGGTCATGTTTTCAGGATTTCCCTCAGATGAAACAGCTGTGGTAATTACTAAGGCAGTGAAACTGATCAAATCACCTGTGCAAAATAATGGGAATCCTGAAAACATGACCTGTTGGGGGTCCATGAGGACTGGAGTTGAGAAACACTGCCCTAGTGACATCAGCTTCCTCAAACACAGTGAAAAGAATTGATCTTGTTCCTACCACTGTGTGACATCAGAACCAGAAGTGACAAGGATTTCATCATGTCCGGTTTCGGTTCGTTTGTTAACAAGCCATTGCAGGCTAGTGTAGAAGCAGATCAAACCCATCTCGGTTTTATCTGCTGCTTTGGAGGCCAGAGGCCAGGTTCTATGAGACCCCAGATCTTTTCATGAGACGTGTAATGGGCAACAGTATACAGGGTACACACCGCTCAAGGCTGACCTGCCAGAGATCCCATGCTACTGGATATTTCTGTGTGCCTGCTTGGTCTGCAACCATGATCAGTGAACATGAGGAAAAGAAGTAGCGGTACTCCAATATACAAACAGTATAGTGTATCTCAATCTGCTAGGCCATGTACAGTAATACTCCCCCCCCCCCCCCCCCCACAGTATGACAATGATGCTGTCCAAAGTTGCCCCTAAGCTCCTTCATTCAAAGTGGAGGGACTCTTATACAGGAGGTGTGTTACTGGTCAGATCCCCAGGTGAAAGTAGAGGGAAAAAAGTGCAAAAAAATGAATACAGCCTCCACATCTAATGATTGGTAAGCTGCAATATATTACATCGTTGGAGTTCAGTTTATTACCACTTTAATGACTAAAATAAGAATTGAAGCCAAGGCTCACTATGACAGCCACGAAAACAAGAAATTAGACATAAGTTAGCAAGGGCAGTCTATGTATTTCTCTAAAGAGCAGGTTTCTTTAACATACTGTAAAGCGTTTGCCCACATACCCATCCCAAAGGGGATGTATTTTCTTGCTAGAAATCTGCTACAATGTATCGTTTCTGTTTTATGTGGCTCAGCCAAGAATAATAACCTTTGCTGGAAGCTGCTGTCATCTAACGCTGCACTGATGCCAATTCCAAGGCATGGCTAATAGTGACATGCTTACCCCAATGCTAGTAATAGCTGTGGAGTCGGACAACAACAGCCTATAGCACAGGTAGATAGCAACACTGAAACAGATAACTAGGAAAATGATTAAACCAAATAGCCCTTCATGAAACCTGTATGAAACGCAGTTGAGCCATCATAAAATAGAAGGTATCTGCGTGTTTTTCTTTCATCACAAACACTAAAATATCAGAAATGTATTCCTCATTTTAGAAGTTAGTGGGGCTGTGCATATCAATTCTTTGTGCTCCAGTATCAACTTTACAGCCAAAAGCATTGGTTTATAGCACACAAATATAACCTAATTGTATAAAGATAGTTAAGAAAAACTAAGTTTTTTTTGTTGATTAATGAAGAGCAAAGGCTGAACCTGGGGGAAGCTGTCACATGATAGCAGGCTGTCAGCTCAATCAGCTGTGGTCGGTAAATTCCCTGCCCCATAGTCACATATAACAAAGGGGCAGGGATGTTGGTGACATCATTGACCTAATATAACCACATGGTCATACTTAGACACTGATATTGAACAAATATGGCCATTTGGCTATATTAGGTCAATGATGTCACATTATGTGAGGCTGTAGGGCCGGAAATTCCCTGGCTGCAGCCTGCTATCTTATGACAGCTTCCTAGAGGTTTGGCCTTAGCTCATCAACTAGGGTTTACCACCATCCATGCAATGCATGGAAACCACATGGCTTGTGGATGAATGATAATATAAAAATAGACAGGTTAAGGCGCAGTGGAAGGGGGTTGCTTGTTATCGCAACCCAAAATATTCGGCTAACACCCCTAGCTTATACCTTCAACTCCTAGCTAGTGCTAGGTGCTATGTTCACATGCCATACTTCCTTTCACACTGCCACTGCCCGGTGAGAGAGGCAGAACAGTGAGTCAGTGTACTGTGTGTTTAAAGAAAAAAAAAAGCTTGCACCTGCCTAATAGAGCTGTGCAGACTGCAACTGTTGTAAGGTTCCTTTCTTTAGAATGGAAAACAAGAGCTGAGTCTTGAATGAATAGCTTCTCTCTATGAGAGGTGTGAATGTGGGGACTATGCACAGACGTGAGAGCTATAGATGAGTGGGAGGATGATGGGTACAGAGGTGAGAGCTGTGGATGGGGGTGCTGGGTGCGGTATGAGAGCTGTGAATGGGGCATACTCGATGCAGAGGGGAGAGCCTTGGACAGAGTGGCAGGATGCAGAGATGTGAGCTACAGATAAGGAATGGGGGGGGGGGGGGTTGCAGAGGTGGGAGATGTGAATGAAAGGAGGGCTGGGTACAGAGGTGAGAGCTGTGGATGGAAGGAGTGCAGAGGTGAGAGCTATAGATATAGGGGGGTGCAGAGTTGAGAGCTGTGGATGAGGGTGCAGAAGTGACATATGGAGGGGTGCTTACAAACAGAGCCAATGGGACTCTCTGACCCCTGTACTTTGGATATAACATACTCCATAATCCTAACCCCTACACCCTGTCCATAACATACTCCCGACGCTTCATTCAATACATAACAAACTCTTGACCCCTGCACAGTACATGTTTGCCTAATGACATAAAACAGAACAAAAACTGCAACGCAAATAACACATTCTAAATATTTATATATGGACACATTTAACTACATAACGTTATATTTTATCTC